GTTAGACAACCCTTATTGGCTTGTGATGCCAATTTAGCAAAATAACAATTTGGTTTTAGATCGTTTACAGCTGGAGGAAAATTGTTACAGGTACTTCTTGCAATAGGGTTGTGATATGTCTTTAAAGCTAATAGTTAATTATTGGCTTGTAGTCTTGTACATTGTTGATATGGGGTCTAGATGATTTTGGATGGAAGATATTTTGCGCAAGTCATCCCGTTAAATTGAAGTTTGACTGACAGGGAACTGGTAGTTGTTTATTATTGGTTGTTCTCCAAGAGTTGTGACAATTATATTAGTTGAGTATTGTGATTTTGTGTTCTCTATGTGAAACACACCCGGATTTTCTTATATGCTGTAATTTGATTTATCACAACTCAGGACTCAGGAGAGATTTCTTTGCACGTGTAAGTGTGTATGTTTCCATATAGGTTACAGCTTTTGTTTCTTGATATACTTCATGTTAAAATGTTTTGCTCTATTAATAATTTCTTTTGTCTAAACATTTGCCTTGACTTTCCAGATGAATAAGAGGATGGAGTTTGTATTTTCTAGTCATAGTTTTGATGTATGGGAGAGTTGGACAATTGAAGGTTCCTTTGACGAGTGCAGGTTGGTGAATTGCAAAAATCCTCTTGTAAGTTCAATTCCTTTCCTGTGTTGTATGTTTTAATTCATCAATTCTTAGCAAAGCTAAAGAAACAAGGTACATTTCTAATTGCTATAGTGAGCTTATGATGATGTGTGCAAGCATTTTTGTGATTTATATATTCTAACCTTGGAATTTTGCAAAATGCAAATAATGAAATTCAATGGCGTTAAGCAATTGACCTCAACATATGTAGTTTCCATATCTATATCTATTCTTCAGTATTATATATGGCTCCCCAAGTTTTTGTTTCAGTGGTGTTTGTAATGCCTCAAGGGTTATTTATAATTTTTAAGATTCTCATAATCATATCAAAATCTATGACTAATACTATATCTGTAAAACTCTATCTCTCATGTAAGTTCAATCTCCTCTGTCATTCTACAGGCAGCGTTGGACGTACGCATTGAAATTGTTGTTGCTGTTGATGAAGATGGTGTTACTCGTTGGCTCGATTAGTCAGTTAGTGGTAGGATTGTATGAGGTTTGCGATATCTTCACATCTTTTAGGTAATTGCAAATTCAGGTTATTATGATTGGATATTTGCTTTTTTAAAAGCTCCCAACTAGTATCCCTCTGAATCTTAAAACATTGGCATGTTGAATTTCGAGCCACCTTAAAGTCTCATGAATCAGACAAACTATGAGAAATTGACACGTGAACTCGTTTGTATTAATATATAGGAAATGGTAGTATTTAGTATTTACATCAAATGTTGTGAGTGAACCACGAATATATTTGGTCAATCATTACAAATCAAACAGTTAAAATTCTTTATATGACTAAAATTATTTCTATGAGTTAAAATAGACGGTTGAGCGTAGGCCATTCGTCGTTGCAAAAGGTGTCATTTTCTTTCATTTTCGTACGCTTACCTGATCATATGGTTGTATGTGGTTTTCTTTTCTTTCTATTAAATGAATTATAGATTTATCCTAATTTGATCAAAACCATCACAATATAGTTACAGTGTAACCCAAAAAAGAAGCACCAGCATCAAATATCATCATAATATATTTTAATTTTGGGAGATGATACAATCCTGTTACAGAACCATTCTGTCGGAGTTTGTAACCGTTAGATCAACGGTTACAAACCCCGACGAAATGATTCCGTAACGAGACCGTAGGATTTCTCTTTAATTTCAAGTTAACTGTTAATNCACCTCATTCAATGCATTCGGTAATAAAATCATACATAATTATCAACTCTTAGCATATTCTAACATACAATTTAAGTATTATTAATAAAATTATTAGTATTATTTAAGTAATCAGAAAATATGGTATGAATTACTTGTTGTATATAAAAAGTTGACTCTACTATAGAACCAACTGTTGACTTCTTAGCAAAACTGGAAACAAAAAACAAGGATTTACATAATTGGTCAGGACAAGAGTTAAAGTCAGTAACCAGTTAACTACTTTTGAGGGTCAAAAACCAGGCAGAAAAGTCTTTCCAAGTTCCCGGCAGCCCAACCTCACGTTGACACGTCACCACGCAAATTGCAAGACCTTACACCAATCTCTCGCCACGTGTGCGGTCCAGATCTCTTTCTCTCCCCTCCCCACAAAAAGTCGGTTTATTGTCTTCCTATAAAAACCTCCACCATTAGTATACTCGCTGCTCCTCCACCACTAAATAAGACAGGTCGAGATCAGCTGAAAACCTCTCGGAAAATTCTGGAATACCAAATTCACCTCAAAAATATACACTTTGAACCGCGATCAAATTTCCCTCTTTTAGTTTCCTTGTTCCATTTCAGTTTGAAATTTTAATTCGATCGGATTTTGAAGATTTGATCGATTGTCATACATGGTGTCCGTGTACCCAAACCCTCCTCCAGATCGGGATTTCACGCATTTTTACGGGTTGCATATGGGCGGGGGTCCGATGAAAATTCCGGGTCTGAACGGAAATGAGAACAGCCTGCTTCAAACAGCGCCGGTTGGGAATTTGGGTCCGGGTGTGGACGACACGAGTAAGAAGATCCGGAAGCCTTACACGATTACAAAGTCCAGAGAAAGCTGGAGCGACCAGGAGCACGACAAGTTCGTAGAAGCGCTTCACCTGTAAGTGTTTGGGCTGTGTAAAGTATTTGGTTTCTTTGAATTGTTGTGTGTATGAGTGTGTTAAAATTGACTCTGTAAAGTATTTGGTTTTGTGGAATGTTGTGTGTATAAGTGTGTTTGAATGAGGGATGGATGGTGATAAAGAGGAAGTCGTGAAAAAGATAATGTTTTGTGTTTCCTGTTTTCATTGCTTATTAAATCTATTTCCTGTAAATTGAGTACTTGATATGGAGAAGTTTTAGACGGAAACTCATGTTCTTTAACATTTTTATGTTTGGACAATGAATTATCTATCTCTCTTTGCATTGTTGGTTATATGCGAAATATACTGACACGTTACTTAACAATTGAGATTCTGAGTTTTGCTCACATTGCTATGAATTTTGATTTCTCTCTTTTTTAGATTTGACCGTGATTGGAAGAAGATTGAAGCATTCGTCGGCTCAAAGACTGTTATCCAGGTAACCCCAAGTTGGCCAACACTTATTGTAATGTTTATGCTAGAGATGGTGACTCTGATTTTCCTTTCCATTTCTGAACTAGGTAGTTCCATCCCATTTATTGAAGAGGTGAGGAGTAACTGTTGCGTCCTTCATTATATTTATGTTCAGGATGTGCGTAAATGTTGACCATTTTTGGGTTTTTTGAACGTGTCACCCTATTATGAATGTTATCTCCTCGAAATCAATTGCTATGCCTGTATGCAATTTGTGTTAAAACCATCGTCTCTGTTTTTCTTGTTCATGTAATTCTCTTGCCTATTCGTAGTGTTATGCTTTATTGTTAGTAAATTATTTACACTACCTTCCGGTTGGGTAGGTTGCTTTTTCATCTGAAAATTTTGTTACCAATATAGGGGGAGTATGTGTCAATATTGTCTCTTTCAAACAAAAATGTCTAATTAGATGAATAGACAACAGTGTT